CTTCTTGCCCGTGTACTCCACTTGTGTCCCGATCTTGACCATGTCCGCCGTCACCTTGGGGTCCTTGTCGAACTCGGCCACGGGCAACCATGAGCATTTNGGACGCGCGCCCTCATGCCCTCGTGGAAGTGGCGAATGACCGCCAGCATCTTCGGGGGCACGCCGAAGCGTCGGAGCACGTCCCACAGTAGGTCTCGGTCCACCGAATCGTATGCCTTGGTGAGGTCGACGAAGCACGCGAACACCACAGTACTCTTCTTCCTCGCGAACTCATGGAGCCGCTGGATGGCGGACAGCATGTCGAGCGTCGACCGGTGTGGGCGGAAACCGCTCTGCTCCTCCGGGAGGATGCCCTCTCGCTCGCAGTAGTGGCTTAGTCGTGTAGCGACGACCTTAAGCAGCACCTTGCCGGCGTGTGCGACGAGCGAGATGCCCCGGTAGTTGCCGCACTCCATCGTGTCCCCCTTCTTGAACAGCACTTTGATGGTGGCATCCTTCCACTGCTGTGGTACGTCCCCAGTCTGCCACACGTCCACGACAATGGCGTGGAATTCGCGGAGGAGACCTTGATCTCCGTCCAGGAAAAGCTTGATCAGCTCAGCCGGTAGGTCGTCCGGCCCGCACAACAAATCCATCTCCATCTATAGAAATATTCTCCATCTACAGAAATAAGTGTAAGATAGATTACCAATGAATCCATAGCGTGAGCGAAAGGCTAACTGTATATCTGCGGTTTCCCAGACAGCTTGTTCCGGCGTAACCCTGCGCCAGTGAAGCAAAGTGCCGGTTCAGCATGCGGCGAACCGTCGTATAGTCGAATCGTCAAACAGGAAATATGCTTATTTGGTTATGCCGCCTGTCGTATATGTACTCGGGAGTCTTCTTGTAGCGGAGCACACAGAGAGGCCCCGCGACATCCCAACCAGACCTTCCTGGAAATGAAGGGGATGGAAGACGCCGTGGTATCGTAATCTCCGTGTCTACCCGACGTTGTGTCTCTACTGCTGTCAGCTTGTGCGACGCACACACCTTGAAACTGTAGTAATTCATGCACTACCGACGAATCCGTCTCCTACAAACGCAGCCCAGCTTTTGTTTGTATGCTAAGGACCGGGAGCAGCTAGCTATCTATGGCGAGATTCTGGTCTAGGCATCGCTCGCTGCTAGACAGGCGTGAACATGAACCTACTTCCGGGAGATCGGGCGATAAACCGCCCAAGCTTTGGCCAGATGCTGCTGCGGGGAAATCAGCATCGATCAAGGTGAATGATATCCGAAATCGCCCCACCCATCAATCGTAGATAGATCCAGGTTGTTCCTTTCTTTATTATTCGTATCAACCGCGCCAACCGGCTGGGCATGGAAAGTTTGTCAGCCACAGTGCGGTTGAAAACACACAATGCTCTTTCGGCTATGATCTGGGGCTTCGTGAGAAGGCGTCGTTGGTGAGGCATAGCGATACTCTCCGGATAAATGACAGAAGAAAAATGGAACAACGACGGAAGAAGTGAATGACAACTACTTCAAAGTGTTGTTTTCGTCTATACTCCGGACGGAGTAGATTACTTTCTCTTAGCCTTTTCATTGAATTGGCGGAGCAAGTACTGATCTACGAGATCTCCGGGGAGTACTTGGGTGTTATGGGAATGATGATGGACAAGACGCGCGAGTCTTTCCTTGCCTCGCCCATGTCTCTAACTCGTTAAATTGTTACCATGACAAGGAACTTGAGTCCCTGCATCCTTCTGTGCATGGCGCTCTCGACAAAGGCCCGCGAGCTCGGTACAACAATGAACACGCGCCGACACCCCAAACAGCATTGTTTCGTCCACGCCCAGAAAATGTTGTGTGTGCATTGTGTGCATATATATCGTAAACGAACGTTCCCGGAGGTCAAAGGGCTCAAACTTAGCAGCAGTAAGTCAGGTTGTAACAGATCAACATGAGCCTCTCATGGGAACGATGGGACCCAAAATTATTTCCTCGCTTCCCGACCCTATGTATGTCACCTAAAAACAACACAGAAATTCTTACGGAATGGAGGGCACGTGGATGCCAGGAACAGGGACACCACGTGGACCCTGCTTCACACTGCGTGTCACGCCGGCCAGAACCGAGTGGTCGAGGTCCTCGTGTCCGCAGGAGCGAAGCTTGAGAGTGAGGTGGAGGGTCAATATAACCCTCTCCTCCTCTGCTGTGGCTGCGGTTGTCGCGATAACATGGTCTGCCCGGTGTTGCGGTCGGTTCCCAACGAACACGTCGATGACCCCGAACATTTCGAGGAGTGTGGACACATGAAGGTGCGCAAGGCAACCGGGCTTTGACAAGGGAGAGCGTTAATGGTTAAGCCGGGATGCCACTACGAACAACGGTCTACGCTCATAACTGCTAGTGGTCGTTTCACATGGAGCTGAGACCCACTAGACTATAGATATTCTTGGCACTCAAACGTTGAGCCTCACCGCGCCATTCGTCCAGTTAATGACTGCGCATGAAACTCCCAGGAGAGAGCTGAACGGCATCGCATGACGGTCGACCGGCACTCGAGACGAAAGTACGGAAGGACCACACAACCTATCCTCAAGCTCGTTGGGGAAGAACGAACAACTACCACCACTCTTCGATTTCGCTTCGCGACACGAACCGAACAACAAACGGCAGGCGGCCCGCGTTCTCCTCAAGGCCGGAGCGAACCTTGAGAGCACCACCGACCAGCTGTTCACGCCCCTCCTGATCGCCGTCTTCAACGGCAAGCTCGGCCTCTCCAAGTGCCTCGTGGCTGCGGGGGCCAACGTGGAAGCCAGGAATAGTCAGAGGTACACCTCCTTGTCTATTGCCGCGCAGCAAGGACATGCCAACATAGTGGGGTTCCTTCTGGACAGGTGCGCTTTCTACAGCCCACTTTTGAACCCTCCCCCGCGCTGCCGCACGTCATCCGAAGCTGGCTTCCACACTTGGTTTTACAAGTCGCAGAGAGGGCATGCGACAATTGACAATAAAGGTTCTCAAACGCATTGTTCTGCTCGCAACTCTCTTCGTGCGGTGGGTGATATGTCAAACCGTGCTATGTAGTGTCGTAGACTGTTTGTGCTCGGCCGGCCCGCAACGAGATACCAGACGCATGGAAGCCACGTGTCGTAGTCTGCCGAGAGTTTCGGGTAGCGTTTAGGCCCGAAGCATCGTACTACCCACCCCCTTCGGGAGGCGTAATTCTCTGAGCACCCAAGTCTGAGAGACTGCTTAGAGTATCTCCGAGAGTCGGTCGATTGGACCTGGCAGGTACACGGGCGGGTCGAGAATAAAAATAATGTGCCTCGAGGTATCGTTGAGCGCTGTTTTGATTAATCGACTTGACAACGTTGAGTACCTCAATTTGTTTTCGCCACGCACGTAGTTGTGAACTCATTAAAAGGTACGGCAGGATATCCAACCAAAGCCCTTTTATTTCTCGCTGTCTTCGCCCGCCGGACCCCGCCACCACACAGCGGCGCGAATATCGAAGCCAGGACGGACACCAAGCTTTCCCCTCTCATGGTAGCCGCGCAGGAAGGAAGGGTACCCGAGGTGCAGCTTCTGCTCAGGGCCGGGGCTAGCTTGGAGGTGGGATGTCTATGCAGTCAGTGCCTACGAAGCAAGCGCGGGACGAGCATCGTATTTAGAAAGGCGTGTATGGCAAGAGTGAGCTCCTCAAATCTCCGTTGGTTGCCACGCCCCACTCCCCACAACAAATCAGCCGGCCAAGAGTGGGAGAAAACATAATACAGTGGGTGGCCCGATATAGTGCCGGTTGAATAGTGCCGGTTGCCGGTATAGTGCCGGTGTTTTCGGCTCGCACACACCGGAATATCAAGTCTTTCTGTACTCTGAATAGTGCCGGTGCCCGGTATAGTGCCGCTTTGCTCTCTGAACACATACCGGCACTATAGAGGGCCCCCTACTGCACCTTCCTCGGAAGAATTCGTCGCAAAAACAAGGACGTATCCCCCCTCGTCTCGACTTTTCCGCACGTTGTCATTGTGTAATTAATTATTCCCGGCTTTGGCTCATCCCAACGAAGGTTCTCAATCAGTTGAGGATCCAGGACACATCGAGAGCGTTTGTCGAACTGAAATACACCATCTGCGTTCGCACGGTACCGCGAGTTCGTTATCGTGCAGAAAGAATACGCAACGAGTGAGTGGCGGCATAACAAGTGAAAAAACTGTCTCTGTTGTATGTGTGGTGGTCTTTTGTCGTTGTT